AACCCTAGATAAAGAGGTATTGCCTGTGAAAAACTTCCCATCTCAGAATTTTCAGCAACACCTAAAGGACTAAAAGTATGTCATTAATCAGGAAATCAAGTGTGGGGTGGATCACAAACTGTGAGGATAACTCCAAGCACCTTCTAGTAAGTCTGCCCAGTAGACTTAATCATTTTTCAGTCATATTTTATTTAGTTTTTGTGAACATATATTGCACTTAAAACTTTCGAAAATTGTTTATTTCTCCTAGATGGTTTTTATTTGTTTTGGCAGTAAAAGTAAAAATCCTTGGTTGTATCTAAAGTGTTAAGTTTTATTTACAGCAGCATATTGTGGCCCATGCAAAGTGGAATTCAGGTATATTAATAAAATAAAAAATTAAAAAAAAAATGAATTTAACACCTTAAATTTCACATAGCCACTCCTTTCAATTGTCCCCTGGGTACAGTTTTTTTGCGATTCATTGATGCTTCTAATGATGTTCATGATGCTCATTATATATTTTCTTTTATTGATAAAGGCATTGAGGAGGTTGAGGAGGAGCATATAATTCAAGTGGTCATATATAATGTTGCTCCTAATATAGTTGCAGGTCATTTGCTTCACCAGAAGAGGCCTCGTATATTTTGGACTCTTTGCGTTGCACATTGCATAGATCTTATGCTTGAAGCCAGTGGTGATATATCTGCTATTAAAGGAGTGCTTTTTAAAGCTAAGCAAGCTACGATTCAGTCACACTATTACCCTTAGCATGAAGCGCAAGTTTACAAAGAAGAGGGACCTAGTGAGGCACAAGGTCACTAGATTTGCTGCTACCTACCTTCGTCCACAGAGCATGTATATAAAAGGAGGATCCCAATCCATTGAGGACTATGTTTGTTTCAGAGGATTGGAGAAGGTGTAGGTGGTCTAGAGATGCCAATGGAAAGAAGGCATGGGATATTATTCTTTCTTAATATTTTTACTATGGGGTAAAGCAAGCGATACAAGGTCTTGCACTTGGCTGATGCCGATAAGCCCTCTATGGGCTTTATATATGATTCACTTGAAGGAGCTAAGAAGGAGATTGCTGAGAATTTGGATAATGATGAGGTCAAGCACGGCCCAATTTGGTCGATTACAGATGCCAAGTTGGATAGAAAGATCCATAGACCATTGCATGCAGCAGGCTACTACTTGAATCCCAAGTTCTTTTATGTTGATGGTCATATTGAGGCAAAAGATACAATTATGGAAGGCTTTAATGAGTGCCTTGAGCGATTAGTTCCCTATCCAAATATCCAAGATAAGATATCAACTGAAGAGCTTATTTCGTACAAATGTGCTTTGAAGTCATTCGGGAAAGATATGGCACCAAGACAGAGGAGCAAAGCGGAACCAAGTCATATTAATATATTGTGTATTTTTGTTTTGGCAAATTTCTTTCAAGCTCCTAAAATTCTTCACGATAATGTTCATCATCATCATCGTCAAAGCCTTTTCCCAACTATTGGGGTTGGCTACACGAATTTCAGTTTGTCATTCTTTAAAATAATGTTAAATACTTAAATTAATTATAAAGGTTGCCCACATATTGCAACTCACTGGTGGAGACAATATAAAAGTAACGCTCCACACCTCCAAAAAATGTCTATTCGGATCTTGAGTTTGACAACTAGCTCTTTTGGTTGTGAGCACAATTGAAGGTCGTTTACGTCCGTATTTTATCTTCTTTTCTTGTTTACAAGTTCATATCTCTAATATAGATTCATAGAAGATAACATATATAAACATATTAACATATGACATAATACTTGTTAATAATATAATACATTACTAATAGATGGCTCAATTAGTAGTAGCAATATACTAGTAGTACACTAGTAGTCTACTACTCATGAATATTTTCTTAAAGGTGCATATAAAGAGAAGAAATAGGCTTGAGCAAAGGAAGCTCAATGACTTGGTTTTTGTTAGAGAGAATCAGAAGCTCAAGGAGAAGTTTAACTAACAAAACAAGGATTCCATCACTTCGAATGACAAGGAGAATGATTTTGAGAGGCTAGTTGAGGACCCTGGTATTTGAGGAGGTCTTTCCCTGGGAGGGGAGGCTTTGGGTCCAGCTTCTGATCCTAAGAAAGCCATTTGAGCAACAACTGCTACCGGTACTTCACAGTCACAGAGGACAAGGGAGATAGAGGAGGAGTAGATTCAGAAGAAACTGAGGAAGAAGAGCAATATGTTGAAGAGGATGACGATATGATGATAGCCTCGATTCCAATGCAGATGCAAGACGATATTCAGATTCTCACTAATAAAGATTGGAGAAACGTAGTTGTCCTCTCTCTTCTTTTGCAGTTTTGTATTTCATCTCTATTGCACTATCTTGGCTTTGGACTTTAAACATTTTGATGCTAGACTTTTCACTGTTTTGGACTATTTCATTGTTTGGTTTTATACTTTCGTAAGTTTGTTGAAGACTTGGGAGAGTTGGAGTCCATGTTATTATGGGATATTGAGACTTAGAGACTATTACTAATACATAGCCTATTAGACGTTTAACGCTTTTTAGATTTTGTATGATTTGACTTTGAAATTTTGAAAAGGTTTATTCTTAAATAACATGTGAAATGTCATATGTTATATAAAAAAATATGTTATAATACATACAAATGCAATATATTACAGAATTGACACAAATTTATACATATATGTGCATTTGGACAACATATATATGTATATATCTAAAAATTTTGTACTACAGGGCGCCTGAGGTTCTAGGTGCCCACCTAGGTGCTAGGTGATAGGCGCTAGGCGCTGGGCACTGGGTGCCAGGCTGGCCGCCTAGAGTCTTCTGAAACCTTGGCTCTAACTAAGGGTATAGCCCTTGATAAAGCAAAATGCCAGAACAGGATTCATGTAGCTGACCTTAAATAGTTGGGATAAGGCTCGAATGATGATGATGATGATCATTGTTGCAACAATAATGACCGCGATTCAGTAAACGCGGGAAAAGAAGTCATCATCATCATAGAGGAAACAAAAACTTTATAATCGTCCCCTACACCTTTCAAAACATAATGGACCTGTCCTCTTACATAGGGCTTTTATCTTATTACAAAATTTTGAGGCTAACATATTATTCTTTTACAGGCATGAAGCTCACTTCGTAGATGGATAACTAGGGCTTCTGCTGCTTAGGAAAATAATTCATGAAGGGCCTCCCATAGTGCTGCAGCAGTAGGTAATTAATTACTTGACGAATAAATTCTTCTGAAAGGGTTGAACAAATCCAACCATTGAAGCTCTGGTCTGTAGATATCTAATCATCCTAACCGGGATTAGATTGAACATATTTCTTAGCTGTTTCATCTTCACCAATCTCTTTGTTTCTAAGAAACTCAATTGGAGGCTTGGATGAACCATTAATATGCCACAATAACTGCTCACCTCTTATATAAGGCAGAACTAAACCTTTCCAAGTAAATAGTCTGCGGCATTGAGTGTAACAGGTATGTATGGAGGATTAGGAAGACCAAGAGAAAGAGGAGAAGACAACAAGGCCATTGTTAATATCATATAAAAGAGCAAAGCGCAAGAGATTTCAAGGAGAAGAAAGAAGGGAAAGAAACCAGTAATTAAGTTTTGATAAGCAAGACAGAGTTAGGCTTTTGGACTAGATTTCAAGAACCAAAAAGGAGAACAATTAGGATTTTTTTTTAAGAGAGAGAAATAGGTTTTGAGGAGCAGTATTATAGATTTCAAACAAGATCTAGGGCTTCATATTGAATGAAGAGAGAATCAAGAGTTTTGGGACTGAAATATGAGGCCTTGAAAGAAAGAACATTAGCATGAACGGTAAAATGAACAGTACCTGGACAGTAGTTATCGCTAATATAGAGGATAAATGAGAGAAAGATTAAGGTTTAGGAAAGAAGGATGAGAATTATAAATAACGGTAAAGATGAAAGAAAGATTAGGACTTAAACGAGAAAGAGATAATGAATCTTCATGAAGAAGGATATATTTGTTTCCTTGATAGAATTGATCATGATTAAAGCATATTTCAAACCTTGCTATGACACAAAAAACATAGAGGAGAAGAGAGGAAAGCGGCACAAACTTGAAAATACACACTAGGGCATAACCCTAATTCTTGTATAATAATATATATAATGTTAAATCATGAGTACGAATATATTTTCCCTTATACATCACAACAAATGACTTTCCAATATAACTTCTTTAAATACACACAAATTACAAATTACAGAACTTCCCTTCATTGCATTCTAACAAGTTCTGGCCAAAGACCCGAGAATGAACTACAAAGTTTTCCATTAACAACCTCTGAAACCCCAAACGAGCTATAGGATCCATTCATGTCTCACTCTAGTATATCTTCTGACATGGACATATATGTAAGTAGCAATAATAAGTGTTCGCATCAAAAACCCAACTCTGCATATTTTTATCCCACAAATTTATTCATGTTTTCAGGAATGTTTCCACACTGAGTTTTATCAAAATTGTACAGACATGATTATCTACAGAAGTTTCTGATACACAAATTTGTTTGTCACCCCAGAAATATAATCGCAGGACATTTCAGCATTATACACTCACAAAAATAACATTTATCCAGCATAACCTTCTCAAAATCCACAGGGTACATTTTCATTAACTCTTTTCAGCAAATGCAAAATTAATTTTGGCATGTTCATTGAAAAATCTGCACACACGAACTTTGGTGCAAGAAAATATTTCCACAAAATAGGCACATGATCTGCAAATGACCTTTAAGAATGCTAACTCTGATTATTGACATGTACAACTTAAAAGAAAAAATTCATAAATGTAAGCATAAAAAAAATAAGAAATAATAAATAAAAAGATAAATCACAAAATGCTCTTCAGTCAATATACACAAAATTCCTGTCAAAAGATTCCACCAATTTCAAATTCTAGAATAGAACCTTAAAATCATTGTCAAATCTAAGGAAATACAATATTATACATACCCAAGTAAAAAAGTTCTGGATGTGCATGTGCATCTGTGCTGAACATTACCTGCAATAATATGCAGATATTAGAACAATGAAAAATTTCACAGCCAAATATAGAGGGATTTATAAAAAAGATTATGTTAAGGGCACTCCTATATATAAAGTATTTCCATAACGTACTCCACATTTTTGGACAATTGATATCCTCACTCCACAATGTATAAGGGTATTTAGGTAATTAATCATACTAGAATTTCTTAATAGAAAGAAAAACATTTATTAACTACAGTAGAGAATGACATCATCGACATGTGGTGCACTATCACTTACATGAAACATTAATTGCTTTTGAACTATTAGTAGAATGCGATTAGTTTTTTATAGAAATATCTATTCTAGCCCTCCTAATTATGAAAAATGTCATTACTAAAAAACTTTTGTATTATAAAGCAAGGGTAGGTAATGTCTAATGAATGTGGAGTACGTTAAGGGAATACTCCATTTGTAGGAGTACATTAACATAACCCTTATAAAAATACAAAAACTCCCAATACTAAACCCATCACGGCATATTGACCAGCCTTACCTCAATATCAATTCTAAAGCAACATTTGTTGGACTAACTACTCTAATACACACACCTCAAGATCAAAATTCTAAAGCAACATTTGTTGGATTAACTACTCTAATAAATTCACATTCATGTAGATCAATTAAGATATAAAAACACACACTATGAATATTTACACCAAGTATTCAGATCAAAGTATCCCAAGAATCTCTCTCATAAATATATGCAAGACAGGCATTACTTTAAGGGTTCAATAAATCTTTTAAGGGGGGGCAAATTGAACAACTCAACAATATCAATAAACATAAAGACAGAGAAAAAACATAGGAAAAACTCACCCAGTTCACATGAGGGAATACTGTGGGGCATGAAAAAACTGAGAAGGTGCAAACCCACAACCATAAACCAGAGAGAAACAAAGGAGAGAGAGAGAGAGAAAGGTGTTTCGTCATAATATCTCAAATGGTAAACAACATCCCTTACAGAGGTCCTGGTTGGGAAATTAGGTAAAGAGAGGTTTGCAGGAAAAGATTTGGTTGCAGATGCCATTATTCTTCCCCTTCTGCAACCCCAGGTTTATAGAGAACCTAACAGCCTCTTTGTCTCCCTCACTCCATCGGATATTACTTATGCTAACGTGAAGGATTCAATGTGGTTTCCAAACAAATGGTCAAAAACTTGGGAAGAAAGTAAAATAGAAGAAATTTTTGCAAAACTATTACTCCACTAGAGCATATGTGGCAGTGCCCATGGCTTGGGCGTGGGTATAAGAGTGAGCGCAAGTGGGTTTGTTTGTGTCCCATGGAAAATTTGTCTTTTTAAGATATCAGTATTGTAAAAGATGAGTGGGACTTTCTAACTCCCTGATTTAAGATTAATTCAAAATTATGAGAAGAAATCATCAACATTAAGAATCAGTTTCTTTTCGAAAGTAATCACATGGTGGAGGTGTAATTGTTTCTCATTTCAAAGATTTCCTTGTGACTCATACAGAGATGGATAACATTGAACATAGACTTTGAATCCTAGAAACATCAAAATTGCAGACAAAAAAAGTACCTATTCTGAGCTACAACGACTGATGACGACCTAGAGTTTAGACAAATCTGCAACATTAATCTTTTCCATTATTTTACAAGTGTTTTCAAAGTATTGGGGGCATGTACAGCAACCAGTATCAAGCAAACGTACAACACTGATCGAGTACAACTCATTGACAACTACGAAATTAATTTAAGTGAAAAAAACACAGAGAAACCAACAAGAACGTGAAAAGACAAAATGTAAAAGATATTGATAATTGCTATGGCCATTATGTGTCTAACTCACCTTGTTCATGGGAGCTAGCTCTAGAAGTTCCTTGACTGCAGAAATCATCCCATTAACACTCAGCCTTGGTATTGCCAAGCCAAAATCAAGGTACACCTGATATTAACAGAACTGACAAGTTTGTTAAGAAGCACTTGAAAGATTGCAACATCCATAAACTAATATACCTGAGGGTAAACAGAAGCAAGATACGAGGCTTCTTTAGAGAATGGGTATGATGCATGAAGAAGAACAAATCGACACTTAGTAAATCTCTCATCTTCAAGTGCAGTCCGTAAATGGAGAGGATTAGAAAGCCTCAAATCCAAGTCCACATCTCCAAAACTGAGATAGAAAACAAACAATCAGCTTACACTTTCAGTTTATAAACAGTGGCATGCCTTCTAATGGCACGAGAATATGAAATAGATCTTAATAAATATGATCGAAATATCTTACAAAAGGCCATATGCAAGGCGTGATAGGTTAGCATTTAATTAGTGCTGGTAATGCCAAATGTATACAATAAAGATAGAGAAACAGGAATAAAATATCAGTCATTTTCAAAAGAGATATCAACAAATCTCATAAAAACATGCACCCAGTAGGTTAGCTGACAAAATTATAAACTGTAAAAGAACTATGAACACCATTGACAAACAATTTGGATCCATGCTCTAGAAGGCTCTAGCATCTTTCTCAGATGCATGTTCTGATGAAGGATAACACATGTAGAATATCAGGGGTGGGCATGAAATAAACATGCAGGTGTATCATTCCCATAAATTAAATAGCACAAATGCAACACTATATTATGAACACTCTGAGTTTTAAACATAAGTTTAGCATATATGTCACACTCACACAAAAATTCCCAGTATAAAAATAAATATAGCCAATCCCATAAACACTGGTATGGATAAGTTTCAGCATGATCCGTTCATACAAATACTGTAACATGTATGCCCCTCTAAAAATAAGCAAATTCACTATCTTGAAAATTCCGTGGGAAACACCAACTTCAGCATGCTATGTGACTTAAGTGGATACACAACACAAATCTCATAAAACACCTGCACTTGAGTGAATCACAAGAGTGTGTGTAGTAGTACTATGTATATTAGTCTTGTATTTTGGTTTACTTTGTGCAATTTGTTAATTAGTTCAATGGCAATTTTGTCGTATTATTGTACAGGAGTATTCATGTACTTTGTACAATCCATCCATCTCTGCACATATGGGATTAATCTCTAATTCTAATTAATGAAAATTCCCTGATTATGGAGCTGAAACTAGTCTCCAACCCTGATTATGAGAGCTGGTTTTCCTTTGACCAGTCTTTTATAGGTAGGTTATATTCTACTCTTTCCCAAGAGATTTTATCTGAAGTGGTAGGTGTTTATTCAGCCAAACAAATATGGGATCTTCGTCTTGAGCTTTATTCTCAATCATCTAAGGCAAGTTTGATGCATATTTGTCGTCAACTCCAATAGTGTAAAAGAGAGAATTCTTTCATTGGTGAGTACTTCAACAAGGTGAATGGACTTTATGACCGACTAGCTAGCATTGGCTATGAAGTTAGCAATGATGACAAAGTACTTTACCTGAGTGGAGGATTAGGTGACAAGTATGACATGTTTGTCACATCTATCATATCTAGACCACCTACACCTGGTTTCAATGAACTGTGCCCTCTCTTACAGCAGCAACAAAGCGTCAAAGCCTAATCAAGAAAACTTAGTCCAATCTAAAGGAAGAGATCATGACTTCTTAAATGTCAATTCTTATAACTCCAGCATTTGGAGAGATCGTGGAAGACAGAACAACTGCACTCATGGACGCGGTCGATTCTATTTACCTAACCAGCATCATGGAAATTAAGGATATGCTGGTCATAATTATTAAGCACAAAGATATGATGCTCAGGGAGTTTCACTAATACCCACTCAGCATGACGGTACCAATCAGTCTATTATATGTCAGCTTTGTAAGAAAAGGAAGAACAAAGCCTCCCAGTTTCCATAGAAGTCCCATAATAATGTTGCTGTCCTGCCGCATTCACTTGCCAACCAGAACATATCTATTTCGTTAAAATCTGTACTAAGGAAATTTTGAAGAAAAATATGACTCCAAACACATAAATCAGAGATTGCACACAAGTCAGCTGACAAATTCACTCAAGATCATACTAAAATCAAGAGTTTCTCATAAAGTATAGGTTCGGGAAGAGTTCCAAGCGCTCGTAAGGACCTTCTTTTGTTTACACTCAATCTTTCATACATGAAAGTATCACCTTTGATCCATAAGTTACAAAGACTCAAAGAAAGAGAAGATTACAAAGATGAGACGCTGGGATCGATATTAGACCCTGTCTACCTGGCATTATGAAGCAAGGAAGTTGAAGTTGCTACTTTTTTGCTCTAGAACTTCTAAGGACTCCACTCTATAATTTTTGGTTTTCTCTCTTTTTGATCTCTCTGTGTAATGCACGATATCTGTGTATCAAAGCTTCTTCTCTGTCTCAACAAGGATTTCAGAGAATAAACGCTCTGAAATTCATGCTAAATCCTTCTGGAAAATATGGCCAAAAGATCTTTCGCTTGTTGAAGGAGTCCCTTATATAGATCTTGAAAACTTGTCACCAAGTAGTCTTCAATTTTAGCAAGTACATATCTTCAAATGTGATGCTTTTTAACTTACTCTTTCAATTTAGAAACATCATTAACTCATTTACAGTAATTTCCATTTGTTCATTCTCAGAATCTCAAGATTTCAAGAATGAGAACTCGACTTTAGAAAATCTACTACAAAGCAGACATTTGTTATGCCCCTTACTAAAAGCAACAGCAACAAAAGTATTTTGATGATCAAATCCTTGCAAAATACATTCAGTTTATTTATTTATCAAGATATCTCCCCCTCCATCTTGAGTTTTTAAGGCAAGTAAAAAACCCAAGATTGCGCCTCAAAACATGCCATCCACCTTAAGATATAAAGAGATTTCAGCAGCATCCATAATTCTCTTTGTTTTTTTTGACAACTTTCAAAATTTGCTCAAACTCCTCTCAAATCTCTCATTCTTCACAAAAAACACTTCCTAAATTGCTTCCTTAATGTCTCCCACTAATTTGCATAAAGAATTTTCCATTTTTACATAAATCTATTCAGATCCACCAAAATAGGCAACCTTCCCCTTTTTGCTTCTTTTTAAATCCACAATTTTCTCTCAATTTCGATTCTAGCAACAGTCTAGAGTTTTACCAAAGGCTTCGAAAGAAATTCATAAATTTTCCTGAGTTCTTCACCCATTTCCCATGTCAGTCACAAAGGCGGATCACATTTTCTCTGTCTACTGCACGGACTTGTTCAGGACATCTCCCGAGGCTTTTGCTTCACTGTTTCTCCATCAATGGGTCCCTCGTCCAACACACATCAAAACTACACATGGAGATCAACGAACTATACATGTATGTAGTGCATTTAAAAAAATGTGCGGTTTGTATAGAGCCGAGGCTCTAAACAATCAAACTAGAGCCCACCTTCAAATAGTGTTGATAAATGTGGCTTCAATACAGGATCTTGGTTTAAGATCTCATCTCACAACTTGGGAAGCCTAGGCAAAACTAGCAGAGAGCATAACATGGGATATCCTTAACCAAAGCTCAACACATGAGCATAAAGCCAAGACCTAAAGCTAGGTAAAGTGGCTTGGGCACGCCACCCATTAGGGTTTGTTTTCTTTCCTAAACCCTAATCTTAGAGAGAGAAGAAGAGAGAAGTTTAGAGAAACGTGTGCCACCCTATTGACGCTCAGAGATAGAGAGAGAGAGTTAAGGTAAAGATAATGAAACCCTAGAGCTAGTTTATATAGAGGCTAGAGTTTCTAGGTTTAGGATTTTGCCATCATTATGAGATTTAATCTTGGCTTTTGATCTTGGAGACCTATGGGGTGAATAGATCTCATCCATTCATTCCTTAGATCAGCCATCATGATTAAAAGAATGAGGTGGAACTATTATCCCTCAGTTTCCATAACTCCATTCTCATCAAATATTGTATAGAAGAAGTATTGATTCTATTCCATTTATTTTCATACACTTTCACTTTTTTAAAACAATCAAAATCTCTACACAAAAGGTTTCCTAAAAGTTTCAAGTCAACAAATGGCTTTTGCCTATGGAGGAGGTGGGGCGCACCACCCATAGGATGGCCATGTGGGCCCCACACCCCATATATTGGTGGGCCCAATGAGCCCTAATGTCTTAAATATTATTTTCAAATAATAAAATAATTTCACAAAGCCTCTAAATATTTTATTTTTTTAATAAAATAAATCCATAAAATTGATTTTTTCTTATTTAAATATTATTTTTCAATCAAATAAAATATCTAGAGAGGTCTAAACTTTTATTTTAATTATCTGAAAAATAATTAAAACATATTTAAAAAATCTAAGATTTGATGGGAATTGGATCCATAGATTTAGAATTATGACAAATATACTGAGGACTCCATCCTTTCTAAAGATTGTATCTCATTGCACCTTCTTAAACTGACCCAATAGTTCCCATGACCCACAACCCTTCGTAGGGGTTCATGATTGGACTATCAAAGTCAGCCAATAAATGCATGACATACGATCTAGTCCATGGATTACAAATCCCCTCTTTGAGGACAAGTCCATACCCCATTTCAGCAGTATGCTCAATAGGTCCTTCCAACATAATCTAGTGTTGTAGGGAGTCATCTCTTCTGCACATGTACATGTCAGACACCCTTATCCAAAAGGATCGTTTCCTGGACGGCTATCTAGTGTACATGTCATGTGATGGTAATGATGAGGATTTAGGCCCTTGTCCTCAGGCCATCCATCACACATAGGGGTCAAATCCTGGCCCATGGCCAACTGTCCTATGCACATTTCCGACCTCATCAAGGATAACCCCACATCAAAAACCTTTATCAGTTATGTTCACACAATGCTTAGGACTACAGGTTTTTTAACATCACATTGAGTCATAGCCAGTCAAAGCTCAAGTGAGCCTATGCATTAGAAATGACTCACAGTCCAATGTGGAACACAATCCCACTGGAGCTAACATTTCACAATATATTTTCAGTACATGTTCCCATTAGGCCTTTAAATGGCCACATAACCCCAACAATGTTACACATAAAAAGCACGACAAAGAGTTAATAGTTCATCAAAGACATAAATTGTACATCAAAAAGTAGAGACTAATGAGAAAGACTCTGATATATACTTTACTACTTCACAGTCCATAGATAATGGGGACCAAATCAACTCAGAAGATCAGCCCACACTCAGTGTCCAATCAAAAGGTAGGCAAGTTAAGGCTCTCTTTCTATTGAACATCAAGTGTTCTTCGTAAAAATTCTAAAAGAGCATAAGCATGTTTCATATGAAGTAGCAATGAAGAATGTAAGATGGATAGAGGCAATGAATAAGGAGATCTAAGCACTGCATAGATGTAGAATGAGGGTGATGGTCCCAAGGCCCAAATGAAAAAATGTTGTATGGTTGAAATGGGTGCATAAAATAAAGTGTAAAAGCAAACTGTTCAATTGCGAAGTTCAAAGGAAAGCTAGTTGCAATATTAATCAAGAATATGGGATAAACTATGATGAAAAATTTAATCATGTGGTGAAATGATCACGATTATGTTCCTTGCGCTAGCCCCTGATTAGGAGATATTCCATATTGATGTTAAGAATGCATTTTTGGATGGGGACCCAAACGAAGCATAAATAGAGCAATCAAGGACAGAGTGAAGGACATCTAAAACTCATGGTGTGGAAATTAAATTAGGTGATATATGGGCTGGGGCCTTGGCAGTAGTACTAACAAGCTCTATGATGAAGTCTCTGACTCCATTCTCACCAAAGGGTAGGGGCCCAAATCCCCACTGGCTTGCCCTTTTCTTATTTACCCAAAACAAAAAGAACCCTAGTGGGCCACTCCTTATTTATTCTGCATGATGGAAAAGATATCGCCATTGTAATTACTCTATGTGCATGACATTATTCATAGAGGCAGCTTATTGAAAAAGGTGAATCACATCCAAGAGGCATAAGCATGGTCTACGAAGAGATCATCTAGAGCCTGCCAAGAGAATATTAAGGTACATAAAGCGCACTACGAATGATGGGCTGCTTAAAAATAAACAACATTTCACATCTAGGATGCTGAAGCAAGAGAAAATTACAAGTTATTATGTGTTTATGAGCAGCAAATTGGTATTCTGGCCTTGCAAGAAACAAAGGACAATAGGAAGGTCAAGCACGAAGGCTACAAGGAATGGCAGCCAGTCACTTCTAAAATTACATCAATAAAGAGTCTTGTTATGGTTCTCGGTCTTAAATTATGAGCAGCATTCTATGCTGCAATAATCAAAGTGCAATAGCCATCCCCATAAATCCTGTGCTTCATAGAGAGACCGAACATATTTCAGATAGATCAACACTTGTGAGAGAGAAAATTGAAGACAAATAAATAGTAGCAAAATTTGTTGGGAGCAAAGAACCCATGGCAGAGATTTTTACAAAAGGACTGACCAAGCAAAGGCATAGACTTCTAAAGGGCAAGTTGTCCATAATTGTTACAGATGTATAGAATGAGGGTGTCATGTTAAGGATATGACATGATGTGCAAGGGAAAACTTGTAAATAGGCATTTATATGTCTTAGTTATTTTATGTTCATAGGTAATAATTGACATTGTCATGGAGACGTTAATCTTATACAAATACGTAGGGACGTCCAAAACCCAAGTTTTTTATGGGCGATCCATTGTTTATGCACCAGGCTCCTATCCTACTCATGCATATCCTCTCTCCTTTCCTTTTGAATAATTTCCAGATTTAACACAGTTAATGAAAATAGTGAAATCATTGCAAATTTCAAGACTAATAGAAACGCAAATGTAGAACTTGCAAGTATTTCTATTTTCTTTACCCTGTGTGTATTTGGACAGGCAAATCGAAACTTATAGCGACCTCCAGACTGCACATGAAGATGTAATCAATGAAGGATTTGTTTTGGATACGAATAGGCTTTCTGGCTGCACATAAGTAAAAATATAACCCCTGCTCAAAAATAAATATAACATTTATTGTTATGGCTCTCAAAATATTTAAATACCAAAAGTATCTAAAACCCACCACTTAAAGCTTCTACAAGACCAGCTTCAGCATCCATCTTACTAACATGTGTATCAATTTGCAGACCACTTCGATATGCAGCTATACTCTTCAAGCCGATAATTTTGTCAGCAACTGTGGAGAAGATGTATAGGAAAATGCCACTCTATTGTTGTGCATTCATAGATTAGGAGCTAGAAATCATGTTACATTAATACGATTTAAAAGGATATGACTTCAAACTCTTAAGGAAGAGTTCAGTGAACATTTCCAATGTCCATTGCTGTCCATCCCTAAGCCCCTGCAGAATAAGTCACATCAACCACATATCATAGTCTTTAGTGCCAACTGCTAAAATGTTAGTAGGAATTAACATTCAAGAGCTAGAAAAAAGGAACTCCTGATCTCAATAATAGAGGCATACAGATGAATCCATAACCATAAAATGGAAGTTTCATAAAAGAAGGCTTTTTTTAGTCAGTTAAGCTCGATATTGACATAATTTCAAGGTTTATGCTAGTTGACCTCTATGCCTGAAATATGTAAATCAGAAATCTAAAATTTGTTTTTCATATTTTGAATTGCAAATTAGAAATCTACAAATAGAAGAAGGTATCTCCTGACTCCAAATTCTGTGAACTCACAGTCAGACATATCCAAGAAAAGCCAATCTTATAGACTGAAGATCGATATAGACCTCCAAATGCATGAAATCACCTCGAGAAAGAAAGCCTTCCCCATAAGAATCAGTTTAACAGTCATATTAAGTTAGCAATTGGTAGTTAATGCTAGAACGATATTTAACTTGATTTATGCCAAAAGACATTCCCATAGATGCCAGATAGAGCCACTAAAGCATGGATAACTAGTTCTTCAAGTAAGCATATGAAAATCATAAAGAAAGTTAACATGTATCAACTTCAAAGGCGTAATATATCAAGTACGTCAAATTCCATAGATAAACTATAGGGTCTATGTTCCTCATGAATCCTGATACATGTTCACAAGAAGAATAACATGAGACGTAATAAGTGTGTTTATGAAAGTTAAGACATGCATCTTGCATACTGCCATAATATAACAGAATGCATACAATTTTATTTCAAGAATGTTTTAATTCAAGGTAATATGACACCTTTTTTTTTTTCGAATGTCATGACTCAAATTTAACTATGATTTCAAAAGTACAATAATTGATGGGAAATTTATCTAATACACCCACAAGAGATGAACTATTTAACAATACCCTTTTGGAACTATTCCAACTCAAGACCATGTGTTATTTTTATGGGAATTTGGAAATTAAATCTAGGAGAAATTTACCCGTATATCCCATTTAAAACATCCAAGTATGGAAGTCCACCAACCCGACCCCCCCCCCCCCCCCCCCCTTCCCCCACCCACATGCCCAAAAAAATTTTGTATATTACAAGCATAACCCTTTTGTCCTTTGTTTCTTTTTTTTCCCAGTTTTACCCTCACTTGGAGACCAAAAAAAATCAAAGTTACTAATTCCCAGTTTTTAAGAGAGTTTTCACTTCGTATATTGAAAATCCAAAGTTATACTTGACTTTGGATTTTGAATATCCAAAGTTGTATGGAAATCTCATTTACAGTATAACTTCGTATTTCAAAAATCCAAAGTCAAGAGTGACTTTGAATTTTTAACATTTGAAGTGATTTTGGTCTTTCCCCTAAAAATGACATTAAAAGAAATATGACTACATATTGAAAATCCGAAGTCATTTGTGACTTCAGATATTCAATATCTGAAGTCATGGGTAAAATAGGAACAGAAAAATGAAAAACAAAAGGCACATGCGCATAATTACAAAAGTTAAGTGGCATTTTTATAATTACAATTGTCAAATGGGATATCTGGGTAAATTTCTCTAAGTCAAAAGATACAGGTAATGTGTTAAATTGTAAATGGGTAACTTGATAAATTTAAGCAAGGTTCATAGAAAGTGGAATGCTCAAAAAGGTCAAGGTGTAGGTCCAAAAGGACATGGTTGGAAGTAGTAAGAAAATATATGGAGACTTATGGCCTCACTAAAGGTATGGCTTTGATAAAGCAAAATGGCAGACCAAAATTTGTGTCACTGACCCCAAATAGTTGGGAAAATGCTCTAATGATGATGATGATGACGATGATAACGATGATGATGAAATTTCAATATGATATAGTCATTGAAATGAAACAAGAGATTGCATGTTTCAGAAGAGCATATATACATCCTTAAAAGTCATGTGCAACTATAAAACTTTGCATGCATGCACTTAGAAAACATTCCAGCACATAATTCCGCTACATAGAAATTTTTCAAAAATGGACACAGGTCATATGAAGCTGAATTCTAAAATTGCAACTTCATAAACTGACTTTTAGAATTTCGGTACAGACATAGATTTAGGGCATCAAGCTCTAATGCAGTGAGTCTCACTGCTTCATAACACAATACATACATTAAGCTTGGGACATATTTTCCCTAACAAATAAAACCTAGATATAACAAAGCAAAATCCATTTTAGAACAATTATTTTTATTTTGTGCATGTAAATTTCTATGTAAAGCCAACATCCATTACAGCACAAAAATCAAAAATTAACCTAAAACCATTACAGCACAAAAACCACCATTTAAAACTATAGGAAATTATGACCTGCAAAAGCATATTTTATTTTGGGTAGGCTAGCAACGGGATTGGAACCCAGAATGTGGTGCTACAATTGTCAAGGCCCTGACCATTCAAGCCCAGTGCCCAATCCCACCTGCAAAGGCTTATATTTGCTCCATGCTCTTTTTTAGCCAGTTGAGATGTTGTAAGAATGAAATTCTTTTCTTGGGCCTACCAGAGCTTATAAGACGTATGTTGTTTACATTAGCCTGCGTGAATGAAAATTGAAATAATAATTTTCTCAATATTCCATTAAAGTTCCATTATAATAGAGCTCTCAACTCCTTTCGCTCTAAAGACTAACATTTTGTACAAAGAAATATCAAGAAAAAACAGCAATTAATCCACCACCAAAGCGCTTGTATTAAGAGCGTAGTGCAACTTAGATATAAGGATACCAAATCCGGTGTCAATATCAACAAAAAATCAATTATTGAAGTTGCAGAAGTCACTAGAGCCACATACTTCAAGAAGTCATAGGAGCTTTAAAGAAAGATGAAAGAAAATAAAAACCACAAAAAAAAAATTCTCACTTCATCAAGAATCTTCCCAGCAAGGTGTTCAATTCTTAAAATTCTGCCAACAATTGGTGCATAAGTCTGATGCCACTCAATATCATACATTTTATCAAGTGCAAGCCCATCATCCACGAGGATCACACCAATATTTGCAGCTCCAAAGCATTTTGAGCAAATTGAGTCTATTCCTGAGGATTTGCGATAACTTTGTACCCCATCAAGTGATTCTTCACACCCATACAAACTTGCAAGGTCCCGTATGCCTCTCTGAAATCCATAAAGGTGTCACATCACAAAGATACAACTTGAATTATTCCCATATAATAAAACAGCAAAATAAATAGCTATGCCTAAGGTTCTTCAAAGAGGTAGCCATGTCTAAGGGCTCATGTAAAAGAAAAAACAATCCAATACCTCATCAAGAAAAATAACAAGGTCAAAAATAAATGGAGGTTTGACAAATTTTAGGAGGAGTCGTCAAAGTTATGTAATCTCTGCACAAGGTTCAAGACAAGAAATATTGTGTAGTCCTTTGGGATCAATTTTTTAAGTATCATTGGCCTTGAAACATTTTCAGCAACATCATTCTGGATAGTGAATTCATCATAATGAAGAGATCATAGAATTAGGAAAGGCAGGAACATTTCAAGAAAACAGAAATTCAAAGAGAGCACAATAATGTCATGTCGCCCAAATCATAGAATTCCCCTTAAAACAACCATAAATTCCACTATCAAATAGCCCCTGAAGAAACATTCCTGGTGTTCCTTTTAACAAATAACAAATCCAATGAAGAAAAGGAATTTAATATAATGAGACTTGGGAACAAACTAAACAAGAACTACAATGATCACTAGTATATTACCTTGGACCTTCCTAAGTTACACCTATATATATCAATTCATATTTAGACTCCATCTATTATTAGTAAGTGCACGCAGTTGAAAAAACAGCAAGGAAGAATGCTAAATACAAATAAGGAAAAAAAAAAAAGAAAAGTAGTTAGGTGGTGCAACCCTCCCTTCTCTACACGTTAAACCTCTAAGCACTGGTTGGCCATGTTGACATGCAACTTTAAGATGAGACTCAAATGGAAAAATCAGATGTATGCAACCATTGGAAAGCAAAGACGAGGCAATAAGATGGTATTTCCCTATCATCCAAGTTACATATCAATTGACTGTATGTTACCCCGCATACAATGAAATGAAGCAAATATTTGATTAGCATTTTTAAGTTATAAACATTGAGAATCATACAGTGTAAGTCAACTTCATGAAAAATTTTGTCAATACGGAACAAATGAAGAAATTGGGAAGTTGAAATTAATAGAATTTCTCTTTAGCACATGTTATTGAAGCTGACAACAGCTAGGATTGTGGTCTTATTAGTATACGCGGATGTATTGAAATCAAAATTGATGACTCTGATGAATGATAATTACTCATCTGGACAATGATTAAGGTCTGAGGACTGGATGAAAGACATAGGTCATATGAGATACTTTTGGGGTAACAACACAAGGTATTTTGCTCACCCAGCACAAGTACAGGCAACATTAAAATAGCGCATACCCTCGCCTCATAAACTGTAAGAGGTTCAATACGCCATTTGAGGTGAAATTGACTGTGTCCAAATGTGTTAGAGACTTTTTAGCAAATCTAACAGAGCATTGCCAAGTATTGGATAGTCTGATCTACTTGTCTATGATTGCACATTTGCTTGTGAGCTCATGTACACAATCTGCACATGAGTGACCCTTAACTAGCAGAGTCATCAGCAGTTCATCATATATCATATGGTTATCTTTGGAGCAATCCAGGACATGACCATTATACTCTGCTTCCTATGGTCTTGGAGTGACTACATGTGTCGATGCTGATAGCGGTTGATTGCCCAGACACCTTGAGAGGCACAGATGGATCTTGCATGTTGTTGGTTCCAATCTGATTTTTTGGAGAATCGAACCAAGCTTTGGCCCATATCCTCTTCCTGTAATAAGATTTGATTGATCACTCAGCGAGCTTGCGGACATACTATGGACTGCATTATTTGGAGAAGTAGTATTTCTGTCTAAATTGTGATTAATTCAGTAACCCACAGCTAAATTAAGCATCTTCAGTTTACCACTTTCAATTAATTTGATTCCATTTCACAATTGACACACTTTACCAACCTCAAAAGTGCTGACCTCTTAAAAGTGGCCGAAATTCGTACTAAAGGGATGAACTTTGTGAAGCACGGTTTTATTTCTTTGTTTGAATGGTTATCTTTGCAAGACAAGTTTCTACTTAGAAAACTGCTGCCATTTGAAGAGTATTTTTAATAGTTCAATTTGCGTGTAGTTTGCATGTATACAAGATTAACCGTCATTATACCATTATACGTGAATGTTACATATGCTTTACTTTTATTGTCTTTTAGCCACAAATATGGCTGAAATTGTAATCGGAACTCATTCCCTTAAATTGCAGTGAGCATCAAAGACTTGATCATCAGAGGTTCAATTTCTTAGTTTAACAAGAGTCCTTCAGATGGCATTTACACTAGTGTTATAACCAAGTCCATGAACTCCAATCCAAGTCGATTGCAAATTTGCAATGTTTTCAAGACCAAAAATCAAATTCGTTGAATTGATAATCCAAGTGAGGACTCTAAAACTCTTATTTGATATTTGAAAAAACAGGGAAGACTTCATATGAATACTGAAAAAATGCGCCTTCATGGCTATGATATTCGAACGATCACAGTTTGCAAGAAAAAAACACCAGAAAATCAATGGGGAGATAAGTTACCAATGAAAAGAAGTAAAAAACGTCAGACATGAATTGAATCAACAGTAGAAAGAGATGAAACAAAAAGTCAACAACAGAGAAAAAACGATCATGCAGCAGAGAGACAGAGAAGAAGAACAGAGCAGCTCATTTGGTAGATGGGTCAAGTGATTAAGCTAGAGACAGGGAAAGTGATACTGATGTTTAGAGAGAGAAAGACGAAAGAGAAAACCTTGAAGGAGAGAGTGTGAGGGACGTCATGAAGGGCCTCCTCATGGTCAGCCTCTGAAAAGCATTTGAGGAAAGAGAAGGAGCTGTCCACTGAAACCACGTTGTGGCAGTGGCCATCGACCAGCTCCACTTCCTCCACCACCTCCCATATCTCTCCATACTTTTTCCTGCTCTCCATTCTCATTCTCTCTCTCGTCTCTCTCTCTTCACACAGAGTGCAACTGCATTTCTCTGTCTTACATTATTATATACATCTGCGGAGTGCCAGAAGTCAGACCAGTAGCGCATAACGATGAATGTTGGCCACGGGCCCGATCCATTACCAAGTGTCAAAATATTATATGATCGCGCGGGAGCATTTTTCTCCGTTTACTAGTTTGGGTTTAGGAAGAGGTTTCGATAAGGCCCAGGCTTTTATGAAACAAAATAAAGCGTCACATCAAATTCTCCTCGTAAAGCACTTTTGATGATTCCAAATCAATTTGTAACACTCACATTAAAATTCAAAATTTAAAAACATGGTGCAAAATTTGTGGATATGTAAACATCTATTTTTAAAGAAAAACAGATTTGTTACAATAAACGCTATTTTTAAAGCTTCAAATATTATTATTTTTTTTACAAACACGATGTTCGAGATGATTGATGTAAAGGTTTTTTCATGCTTGACATGTAATTTTTCATGTGTTATGAAGTGAGGATTTACGTATTTTGATAGAGCTGCAACCCTATCAAACCCTTTTCCTTGGGGGTATTCTTAGGTCCAAGACTAGGTCGGGCAGCTCGACCTAGCCCGTTTTGCCCAGCCCTATAAAAGTAGGGCCTGGACTAAAAATTGTGGGCCAAGGGTCAGGCTAGGGCCAGTGTTAGCCAAATTTGACCTAGCTTAGCCTTCTCTTTTCTTTTTTTTCTTTTTATGTCTTCATTTATTTTTATATCCGCTCATAGCCACTCTTACTTAAGTCTATGGGCTTCTTTGACTAGGTATATGGACCTCTTTGACCAATATACTAAAAAAAAAACCAAGAAAAATTAATCTGGCAACCTAAACAATATAATATTAAAATCAAACATGGAACCTCGCATATTTGAAAAGTTGGATCTAACTATTTGAGAACCCAATTTTTAAAACATAATTTAAATAATAATCTTGTGGTTTTTTTGTGGATTGCAAAAATTTTACCATATATATATATATATATATATATATATAATTTATTTTGCATAAATCTTAATCTTAATTTTTATTATTATCTTAAAAACATGAATAAAGCATAATTATAGTTAATTAATTGTCGTAAAATTCCTATATAATAAAGGAATAAAAATATTATGAAGATAGCAGAAATAACAGAAACATCTAAGATAATCCAAGAGGTATGAGTTGAATTTCTAATTTTAATACTGAAAACTAATTTCAATTGCATTTCATAACTATATCATCAATACATATTAGTACAAAGGAATCGTAATGTTTATATGAAACTTACTGTTGACATATACAGTAGCTATTAAACAACTTCCATTCTGATGGACAGTAAGTAGGGAAAAAAGAGAAATTACAATCACACATGAAGAAAAGTAAGAATAAAAGTTACCAACTCTGTAGTAAACGGTGTATACAAGACTGATAGAAAGCTAATCTATTGTAGTAGAAAAGAGCGAATAGCAGAGAAAAATAAGAGAGGAATGTTGAAGAAGGTCTTCTGATGTGGCTATGAGGTCTCCTTGTTCTCCGCCCTCCAACTTTAGCGGAGATGGGGTTTTATAGACGGAGTCGCATGTCGATGGCTGCCAGGTGGACGAAGATGCGCTCCTGAGATGATGGTGATATGATGGAAGATGCTTTTGTAAATAAGGAAGATTGCTTTTGTGGCTGAGGAAGTCTCAGTAGTGTCAGTGATGAAGGCTTGGTGGAATGGGATGCCATGTGGCAGTAAATAAAACAACAGCGGTCGGTGAGAATCTTGCTTTATTATAAAAAGACAATCATGGTACTATTTATTGAGGACACGTGGACGCTTTGATGTTCGAAAAAGAAGGGATTGATTTGACTAATATTTAGTCATATCAGCAAAAGAATCTAATTACTATGCTTGGAGTCCTATCAAATGAAGGAATCTTGCTTTTCACTATTCAAAGGGTCATATCAGGTCTGCTTTATATTCAAAGGGTCATATCAGATCTGCTTTATGGATATTTGGGATATTTTCCTAGATAAGGATAATATTTTCTTGGACTTAATGAGCCTGGGCCTAAGAGTCTGGTTTGTGACTGAAATCCTCCAGTAAGGGATTACTGAATTGGACCGTTTCTTCTGATGTCGCCGGTGCTGTAGAAGGTTCAGCAAATATTCCAAAAAGTTGTTTTTCTAATTCAGCAAGAGTAGCACTAGGATAGGCTTATTTCATTTGCTTAATATAAGAAGAGAAAGTATGTAGGTCAACAGTATTGGGTGCAGTATTATGAGCAGAAGTATTATATATCTCAGAGGATGGAGGAATCCTTTTGAGAGGAAAAGAACGTGGGTCTGTGCTAAATAGTAAACAACCCCTTGAAAAAGATACAGAGGAATCAAGTACTTCTACTCAAATAGTTGTATATGAAAAAATTGCAACCCCATATAAATTAACTACTTCAGATGTCACAAGATTTGACTTACTTCCTCATATAATTGAACAAAATAATTATACGAATCTTTACCTACAAACAATAGGTAAACAAACAGTACAAATTGAAAATCTTTTATCTCCAGCTCCATCCATTCCTGTACCAAAACAATTACTATTTAAACCTCCTCATGAACTAAATAAAGAAAACTTTACTTATTTTAATGGATCTATTAATATCAAAATTATCTAAACTTGATATTACAAATAAAACTAAAGAAAAGGTTCCTGAACATGAAACCTTAATGCTTCAGGAAGAATTTGATGAATCTATGGATGATACAATTGAAAATAGAGAACAAGCATTTAATCAGTCTATTACATCTAGTCCACATATAGATGAAATCCAAAGAATTGCATATTCCAAAAATTGGAAACTTGCGATAGCCTTACCATATCATAGAAGACCAACACCTGTTGATATCCAATTTGAAGAAGCTTTCATATCCAATACTTCTTCCTATTCAGGAAGAACTTTAGTAAACTGGAACATAGATGGAATATATGAGCATCAAATCTTAGATACCATGCGACATATGACTATGTATGCATCTGCATGCAAAATGGTAGGAACCCATGATTAAGAAATAGCAAAAGCTATAATCTGTGGTTTTACATGATGGTTACGTGGATGGTGGGATTTTCATCTCCCAGAATCCATTAAAAAACAAATATTAAATAATACAAGACAATGGACTGCCACAAATGAACAAAACCAAGATGTCCTTTATACGGAAAGTGATGCAGTCAATACACTAATTTATACTATTACTCTTTATTTTATAGGAAACACCGCTGTCTTAGCATCTAGATCTGAAGATCTTTTATCTAATTTAAAATGTCCGACTCTATCCCATTACAAATGGTATAAAGATGTATTCTTTTCCCGTTTATTATTAAGAGAAGATAGCCAGCTTGAACACTGGAAAGAAAAATTCATAGCTGGATTACCTTATTTATTCGCTGAGAAGGTAAAGGTAAAATAGCGTCTTAAAAATAGAAATGGTGGTATAATAAATTATTCTAAATATACGTTAGGAGAATTATCATCTGAAATATATGCTGAAGGAATAGCATTATGCACAGATATGAAACTAAAGAAACAACTTGATAAACAAAAAATGACTGGTAGAAAAGAATTAGGTGATTTTTGTGAACAATTTGGTTACCATATAGAAAAAGATAAAATTCATAAAATTCATAAAAAGATAAAAAAACATAGATCTAACCAAAAACAAAAATATCATTCTAAGAAATAGAAACATAAATAGAAAAGAGATAAATTTATCAAACGATTTGCTCCCAAATATTCTGCCTTTAAGAAAAAGGGCAAAAGAAAATTACATGTCTGTTATAAATGTGGTAAAATTGGCCATTATAAAAGCCAATGTAAAATCAAAAAGAAAATCGAAACTCTTATATTAGATGAATCCTTAAGAAATAATCTATTTGACCTAGTACAAATATATAATTCCTCTACTAGTTTTGATGCGGATTCTCAATCCAGTAGCGATATGTCATTATTAGAAAATATACAAGATGAAAATCTTATTTGGTCAGATACATCAGATGAATCTGATAATGATCTATGCGAACAATGCTCTGGCAAAACTCCAACTTGTTCTGGTAAAATTCCAATTCATAATCTTCATACCCTGACAAAAATAGATAATTTTATTTTAGATCTGATAGAAAAAATATCTGATCTCGATGACAGAAGGCAGGTTATTACACAATTTATTAATTTAACCAAAGAAAAACCTAAACCAGTTACGTTGATCAAACCTCCAGATGAATACAACTTCTCTACTATAATGAAAAGAATCAGTCAACATGAAGCTATTCATAAAGAACCCACTATTGCTGAACTCAAAACAGAGGTAAATAATATTAAAATTGAAGTATCCCAATTCAAAAATAGGATACAAATTTTAGAATTACAAAATAATATTTCGGATGCAGTAACTGAAAATGATGATATTGAATTTGATAATTTAGTCCATACTTATAATCTTAAAAATAAACCTGAATCTTCAGGAGTCAAAATAAAGGAAGACGATACTGCATCCTTAAATTTACTTAATAAAGTAATTACTCAAAAATGGTTTGTATTAGTCAAAATCGTAATCAATAATGAGTATGACTTCCAATCTTTAGCCTTAATAGACTCTGAAGCAGATTTAAACTGTCTCAATGAAGGATTAGTACCTACTAAATATTTTGATAAAACAACTCAAATCTTAAACACTGCTGATGGTAGTAGATTATATATTAAATATAAATTATCAAATACTATGATCTGCAATAACGGACATTGTTTTCCAACCCCTTTTATCATGATTAAAAGATTAAGTCAAGCTGTAATCCTTGGTGTACCCTTTATGACTTTACTTTATCCCATGACAATTACTCATACATGAATAGAAACACAAATAAACAATACTACAATCCAATTTGAATTCCTAGATAAACCTAAAATCAAATAAATCAATACTGTCAAAACAATTATTAAACAAAAGGAACATTTTCTATGTTCTTTACAAACATAAATCAAACATAAAATAACATGTGAAAAATTACAAACCTCTGAATTAATCCAAAAAATACAGTCCCT